TTCTGACAAGTGAAAGATGAAAACTCAAAGTAGTTTTGACTTGTATTTCCCTAATGTCTAAGGATGTTGAACATATCTTACATATCTTTAAGTGTTTTTGAGCCATTTGAGATTCCTCTATAGAGAATTCTCTGTTTTGATCTGTTCCAATTTTTTTTTTTTTTTTTTGGTTTTCCGAGACAGGGTTTCTCTGTGTAGCTTTGCGCCTTTCCTGGGACTCACTTAGTAGCCCAGGCTGGCCTCGAACTCACAGAGATCCGCCTGGCTCTGCCTCCCAAGTGCTGGGATTAAAGGCGTGCGCCACCACGGCCCGACTGTTCCAAATTTTTTAATTGGATTGTTTCTCTTTTATCTAGTTTCTTGAGTTCTTTATATATTTTGGATAATTTTCCTCTATCAGAGGTAAAATTGGTATGAATATTTTCCCATTCTATAAGCTGTTATTGTGCCAGCTGTACAGTGTCCTTTGCCTTACAGAAGCTTTTTAGTTCAATGATGTTCAGTTTCATAATTGTTGATCTTAGTGCCTGTACTATTAGTGTTCTGTTCAGAAAGTTATTTCCTGTGCCAATTTATTCAAGGCTTTTCTTACTTTCTTTTATATAAGGTTCAACATATCTGGTTTTATGTTGAGATCTTTTATCTACTTGGGCTTGTGTTCTCTGCAGGGTGATAAATGTGAATCTATTTGCATTCTTGTATATGTAGACATCCACTTTGACCAGCACTATTTGTTGAAAATGCTGTCTGTTTCCCAGTGTGTACTTCTGAGTTCATCAAACATCAGGTGTTCATATGTGTGTAGATTTATGTCTAGGTCTTTAATTTGATTCCATTGATGAACCTGTCCATTTTTATATCAGGACCATATGTTTTTTTTGTTTGTTTGGTTGGTTTTTTGTTGTTGTTGTTGTTGTTACTATAGCTCTGTAATTGAAATTGAAATCAGGAATGATGGGACATCCAGTAGTTCTTATATGGTTCAGGATTTTTTAGCTATGCTGGTCTCTGCCCATTGTTTGTTGTTGTTGTTGTTTCCATATGAAGTTGAGAATTATTTCTTTCATGGTCTGAAAGAATTGTGTTGTTATTTTGATAGGGCTTGCATTGAATCTGTAGATTGCTTTTAGTATGATGACTAAATTTCCTATGTTAATCCTACTGATCCATGATCATGAGAGAACTTTTCATCTTCTGATATCTTCCTCAATTTCTTTCTTCAATGAGTTGAAGTTTTTTTTATAATGTAAGTTATCACTTGCTTTGTTAGAGTTAGCACACAGTATTTTATATTACTGAGGCTATTATGAAATGTGTTGTTTTCCTGATTTGTTTCTCAGTCTGTTTGTCATTTGTTTATAGGTGGGCTATTGATTTTTTGAGTTAATTTAGATGTATCCACTATGCTAAAAGGTTTGTCAGCTTTGTGAGTTCCCTTGATGAATTTTTAGGGTCACTTATATATACAAACTTATCATCTGCAAATAATGATACATTGACTTCTTCCTTTCCATTTTGTGTACCTATGATCTCCTTCAGTTTTCTTATTGCTCTATCTAAAATTTCAAGTACTATATTAAGAAAGGTCTGGAGAAAGTAGCGGACCGTGCTTTTCCTGATTTTAGTGTAACTATTTTGAGTTTCTCTACATTTAATTTGTTGTTGATTATAGGCTTGTTGTAAATTGCCTTTATTATATTGACATATGTCTCTTGTATCCCTAATCTGTCCAGGACTTTTGTCTGAAAAAGTATTGAATTTTGTCAAAGGACTTTTCTGCATATCATATGATGATTCTCTGTCTCTCTCCGTCTCTCTGTCTCTCTGTCTCTGTGTGTGTGTGTGTGTGTGTGTGTGTGTGTGTGTTTCTTTCAATTTGTTCTTATGGTAAATTATATTTATTACTTTTTGTATATTGAGCTATCCCTATTTATCTGAGATGAACCCTACTTGATCATGTTGGATGATCTTTTTGATATGTTTTTGTAATCAGTTTGCAAGTATTTTAATGAGTATTTTTGCATCTATGTTCATGAGGGAATTTGACTGGTCTGTAGTTCTCTTTCTTTGTTCGATCTGTAAGTGGTTCAGATATCAGGGTAAATGTGTCCTCTTAACATTAGTTTAGCAATGTTCCATCTGTTTCGATTTTGTAGAATAACTTTAAGAGTATTGGTGTTATTTTTTCATTAGAATTCTAGTAGAATTCTGTGCTAAAATCTTCTGGCCCTGGTCTTCTTTTTATTGGGAGATGGTTAATGACTGCTTCTATTTCACTACTGGTTATTGATCTATTTAAATAGTCTGTCTGATCTTGATTCAACTTTGGTAAGTGGTACTTATTGAGAAATTATCCATTTCTTTTACATTTTTCAATTTGGTGGAGTACAGGCTTTTAATCTCTGTCCCCATGATTCTCTACATTTCCTCGGTATCTGTTATTACATCCCCTTTTTCTTTTCTAATTTCATTAATTTCTATATCTGCTCTTTGTCTTTGACTTAGTTTGGATAAGGTTTTGTCTAACCTGTAGATTTTCTCAAAGAACCAATTGTTTGTTTCATTGATTCTTTGTATTATCTATCTGTCCCTGGTTTATTGATTTCAGTTCATATTTTTATGATTTTTTGCTTTCTACTCATTTTCCATGTGATTACTTCTCTTTGTCTCAGAGCTTTCAGGTATGCTGTTAAGTTTTGTTTTTCTTGTTTGTAGCCACGTATTTCTGTGAACTTGCTTGGGGGCACTGCTTTCAATTGCCCTGTCAGTTTGAGTATGCTGTTTTATCATTTTCACTGAATTCTTTAATTTCTCTCAATATTTCTGCCTTGACCCATATTTTATTCAGTAGAAGTTGTTCAATTTTCATGAATTTATAAACTTCCTCTTGGTTCAGTTGTTCTTGATATCCTGCTTCAACCCATGGTGGTCTGATAGGATACAGAGGATTAATTGAATTCTCTTTCACATGTTGAGACTTGTTTTGTGTCTATATATTTGAACAATTTTAGAGAAACTTCCATGAGGTTCTGAGAAGATATTGTCTTTAGTGATTGGGTGAAATTTTCCATAGATATCTCTTATTTCCATTGGGTTTTTAATGTCTGTTAGTGCCAGCATTTCTGTTTGGTTTTTAGCTAGATTGTTAGGAGTCCTTGCTTTTCAGAGGTTCCAGTCAGTGGCTCGTGGCCCACTGGCATCTTTACATGTCACTTGTCATGGCGCTGGCTGGCAGCGTCTTTCTGACTCAGCCTTCCACTTCCCAGATTTTTCCTCTCTGCTTGTCCTGCCTATACTTCGTGCCTGGCTATTGGCCAATCAACATTTTATTTATACAGAGCGATATCCACAGCACTCCAGAACAAGTAGAATTTGTGGGTACTCCTTTGGAACTCACCAGTATGTAGTGGCATTTTTTGCTTGGCCATCCTTCAGCGGACCAGCAACAATCTTTCTTCTTTCTTCCTCTCTTTTCTGAAATGGAAAATTCTTCTTCTCATCAGGTACTCTCTCCTATTGTCCTCACCTTTTCATAATGAACAGCTTAAAGGCTTAATGTTTGAATGCTGCTGCAGGCAGGCACAGCCTGTCCTGCTGCCACAAAGGGCTGGGCCTGTGACTTATGTTGCAGCCACAGTGGGCAGGTCCTCTGACTCCAGCTGCAGCAGAGCTGCACACCACACCACGGAGAGCCTATGTCTGGGCCACTGCTTGCATGCAGTCTATGCCTGGGGTAGGGACTTGTGTCTCCACCCTTCCATGCGCAGGCAGGGTCCTATGTCTCTTCAGTGCGGTGGGCATGGCAGAAGGGAGCTGGGGCCTGCAGACATAGTGCTACTGCTGAGGTGCTGGTCTGAGAGATCCAAAAACTCCAAACACTGCTTGAGTCTGTCTGCTCTTTTCTTAAAGAGTATAAGTGTCCTGTTCTATGTTTGTTACAACATGGGAGTCAGAGATGAAAAGGCTCCTGACCCTCCCACCTCCTACAGTGTCTGCAGCTGCTGCTTCTCTCCTGCAGTCTTCCTCGTACTCTAGACTGTCATGAGCTATCTCTTAGTTCTTACCTGCACTCCTGCAGCTACTGTTTTTCCTGCCCTGTTTATACTATCCACATTGCCACTTTTATGCTTCTCTGACTCATGCAGCCTGCTGAACCCAAGTTGAAATCTCTCCTTCTCTCTCCTCTCTCCCAAGAGCTGGACACAGTTTTCCTGTGTCCATCTGAGCTGGAGTCCTGCCTGACGCAACCTAAAAGACCACTAAAAATAAATAAATAAATAAATAAATAAATAAATAAATAAATAAATAAATCTCTTCTCTGTATTTTAAGATTATATGCAAATTCTTGTCTCAGAATTTTGTAAGGTTCAAAATCTCTACAATTCATAATAAACTGTCTTTCCCATGGAAAGTTTTGCTTCTTTGTTTCTCAGTAAAGTTGAGTGTGCCTGTGTCTTTAGAAAGTGTGTTTGTGTGTTCTGATTTGTTCACAAATGTCATTTCTATGTGTCATGGAGACAGAAATGGCTTAGCTCTCTTTGCTGTCTTTGCAATCACCACCACAGTGTGACTCCCCCTTATGGCTGGACCTCAGAATACACTTCTGAACTCTCTGGTCATTGGGTTTGGATTAACAAAAGTTCAGATATCCATTTTGGTCTAGAAAACATTAAAGTTATTTTGTCCTCAACGGACACAGAGATCCAAATAAAACAGCCAAAAAAATTAGACTTGGTTTGTGGAAACATTCTACAGCTCGAGATTTATAAGTTCAATTTATTGAATTTGGATAAAAATGTTAAATCTATAAAAAATGTTAACTTAAAAACTAGTAAGAAATGGTTAATGCTTTAAAAATCTATACATAGGTAATCTTTTTTTTTGTAAATACTTTATGTGGTAAAAATACAGCAAAAATAGGGGTTTTTTTGTTCAAAGACCAAAATATATACTGCCATGGTCACGGTTTTAAGGGTGGTTTAAGTAGTCTCTGGCTCCTCAATTGTGCAGTGTAGTGTAGCTGGCTTCAACCCCGGCTTCTCCAGCTTCAGTCATTTATCAAAGCTAGAATCATACTATAGAGATACATGAAGAAACAGAGCAGGTAGAAACCAAGCTTGATCATGGCTTCTTTCATGTGTGACTTTAACTGGCCCCGATTGTGTATTTCTGTTGGATCAAACACTCCCACGTTACCACTTGGCACCATGATGAACCTATATATATTCCAGGTGGCAACAGGTAAGTTGAGTAGGAAGATGAACCAGTGCAATGAAACAAGCATTAACACAGTGACAATGGTGTGGCCAATCAACTCTGGTATGACCCACTTGTTTAATTTTGAGCAACATGATCTAGCGTTAATGTAATCACATTCTAAATCAGACAATGTAATGATGAAGTAGACAGAGAGGAAGAAGAGCGCGCAACAGTCGAGGACCGAGAAGAGGAACACCACCGCCTCCATCCTCCGCTGCCGCTGCTCCTCCCGTCAAACCAGCTCTGGGCCGCGCTGCCGGGACAGGCGGTATCATAGGTAATCTTAAATAAACAATGTGACATGATCCCATTATGTCATATAAACAAAAAATCTGGCTTGTTGCCATATCTATACAGCCACATGACTGGTTTGGGAAGACAGATGCCTTGAGATTTCACCACTAAATAATTAAAATTGACCACATGGAGTGGGCCTACCAAGGAGACAACAATAGGTCTCCAGGATATTTTATATTAGGATGAATTGTTGTGTGATAATCCATCTCTTGTCCTAAAATCAAAGTCTATAAATATATCCCAGATATTAAATATTAAGTAATCTACACTATAAGAGCTTGCTTTTACTTTATTTGGATTATGATTGTGCCCTGCTTTTCCCCTCTTGAAATAAAAAAGGGTACTAGGTTTTTTGAAAGGTCTTGAACCTTTTTAAGGAAAAAAAAGTTAAAATTTTGCATTTAAATTACAAAACTGCTAAATCTATATTAAGAAACATCTTTTGGAAATATTTAGTATTTTTAAGGCTTAAGTTCATAAACTACTTTATTATAATGTCTTTCTTAATATAAAAACTTGATAAATAAATAACTTTAACATAAACAAACAGGTAGTTCTGTAGCTGGAGTTTCCTTTGTCCATCTGGCTCCTGCAGTTGCTCAGACTCAAGTAAACACACAGTTTCCATGTGGCTTGTGGCTTACCAGTACTTTTACATCTTGTTTCCTCTGTGTCTGGCTGGCAACTCCTGACCCAGCCTTTCCTTCCCAGAACTCTCCTCTCTGCTTATCCCTCCTTTATTATACTTCCTGCCTGGCTAGTGACCAATCAGCATTTTATTTATCAATCAATCAGAGCAACACATTCACAGCATACACAAAGACATCCCCAGCGTAGTTCCTTTCCCAAAGCTTCAGCTATCTTCCTAGTACTCTTCATGTGTAAAATTCAGGCCATTAGCCTCACTTTCCTGAGAGCTACTTGTAGGTCTAGACACAGTTTATCTTACTACCAGACTCAAGAAGAAGAAGAAGAAGAAGAAGAAGAAGAAGAAGAAGAAGAAGAAGAAGAAGAAGAAGAAGAAGAAGAAGAAGAAGAAGAAGAAGAAGAAGAAAAAGATAACCTCATAAAACAGGTTTCAATGTAACTTTTATTGTTTCTTTATTTAAAAAACAAACAAACTCTTTACAATGACTGCTCTCAGTGTCAGTGAACCACCACCTGATTTTGTGATAAATGATCAAATAAAAAATTATGTAATGTTTATATAAGGTCTGAGAACACAAAAGCTTAAGTTATAAAAATCTAAGTAAATGTTTTAGGACCTAAGAAAGTGATTTAAGCTAAGTATAAAGGCCTAAAGACACAAACAAAATGACTTAAGATATGTAAATGCAAGTTACAGAGGTCTAAAGATATCAAGACCTGGATTGTAAGGATCTAAAAAAATGTTTGAGGTATGTACATGGATTCAATATTTAAAGAGGTGTGTAAAAGTGCTTCAGATTTCTTTCCCTCACTATGCTATTAGTATAGTAAGACTTTAAAAGCTCGGAGTTTTAGCATTAAATAATACAGTTCTGACAAGTTTTTAATCTAGCTCTGGTAAGAAACTGACTTCATTGTTTAGTTTATTCATTAAAAGCTCAAAATTTTAAGTTTCCTTTAGTTGTCTCCTAATATAGACTGAAAGATATTTCTCATCAGATAAAGACATCTCTGTTCTATCTATATCTCAACAGATTTCCACTTCACTGACAATCACTATTTATATAGTACAAACTACTGAGCTCTGTACTTGATGAAAGCTGATGTTAACCAGTCCAGCTGATATGAATCCTCCCCATCCCTTCACCTGGAGCAGCTAATCAGATACTTCTGAAAAATGCCCCATTTCCTAGCTTTCTACTAGGCTTTCAGCCTTCGTGCACCCTGACTACGTATGCCCTAGTTCAGATGAAAGCAACCACAGAAGATGGCATCATCTCTGCTCCCATAACAGTTGCTAAATAAAGCCAAGTCAAAAGAAGTCTCCCTGACATACGGGACAAAACAGCTACCTATAATGCCCATTGACATAACAAAATGGGCTCAGATTTATCAAGAGACAGATTCATTAATTAACATTATTCTACAATGTGGTAGGACACTTGATTTGCTCTATAGAAAACAAAGAGATATTATCCATCATAGGACTTTTGACTTTTCAGTTTTGTTGATTACTATTGGGTCTTATACCATTAATATAATAACTAAATGATAGTTCATGGTATAAGTAACTTGATGGTTATTAGATTCTAATATAAACTGGAACCCATAATTGAGTAAAAAATTTGATCTAAGATACAAATTCAGGGAGAGATGCTAAAACCCCCACCTGCTCAAAGATCAGATTACTTCCTGGAACTCTGGGAGTTGTAGTTCTTAAAAGATAATACCTGCCCAAAGGACCAGGTAACTTCCTAGGACTATAAAAATTGTAGTTCTTTAAAAAATAACAACAAAGTCTCATAAAAAGGTACAATGGCATATGTATAAGCCCCATTAACACCAATATCAAAGTCACACAGCTTAAAAGTTTCCAGATAGTGATCCTTGTAGCAGGAAGTTTTCCTGTGTCCTCCCAGTGTGCAAGCAGCTCAGACCCAAGTAAACACACAGATGCTTATATTAATTAAAACTGCTCAGCCATTAGGTCAGGCTTACTACTGTCTATCTCTTCTACTTAAACTCAGCCCATTTCTGTTAATCTATATGTTGCCATGTTTTCCTTGATTTACCTGTGTGCCATTAAATGCTGCTCCCTGGACGACAGGCTCAATCTTCTGACTCAGCCTTCCTCTTCCCAGAATTCTCCTGGTCTACTTACCCCACCTATACTTCCTGCCTGGCTACTGGCCAGTGTGTGTTTTATTAAACCAGTGTACAAAAGCAATATCCCACATCATTTCCCCTTTTTTTGTTTAATTAAAAAGGAAAGTTTTAACTCTAACATAGTAAAATTACATATAACAAACAGCTATCAGGCAAGAATAACCATTACAAAATCTAGTCTATTTGTATTTGGCAAAGTTAAAGAAAAATATTCTGTCTATCTTATATTTTTGAGTCTAAGGTTTCATATCTAATTTATCTTTTATCATAACCAAGAAAAATTATAACTATCTAGTCTTCAACTCCATCAAAGACCTCAGAAGGATACAATAATACCTAAGTAAACAGGAAGGGCATTATGAGCAACTTCCAAAAATCTAGACTAACAGACAGCTGGCTGCCTAAAGACAGAAGTGCCTCTCAGTCACTTCTCTCTGTGCCCTGTAGAATGTCTGGCACTTTCTTCTGTGAAGCAGGAACCTGAAGGACCATTTTGCCTTGCAAAGTTCAGTGGTCACCTTCTTATGGGTCCTGCCTGTCCAGTCCATATAACATTTTGCCAAGCAGTCCAGGCAAGAACAGTCTATTTACTCAAATGGTTATTTTTTGCCAAGAAGAAGATAAACCCCGCATAGAGTGTCTTCAATGCCCAACTTTCTCTTTGAAGTAAATTGGTGCTGCCAGGAACCATTGTCCAGAAAGTCTAAGTTTTTCAAACATTTTACATACCATATTATGTAGGTCTTTGAAGTGTTTGGAGATTACCTACCTAACTGGATTATATCTATGCATACCTAGAAAACTTAGCTAACATGACTACAAGTTTGATTATCATAGATTATTAACTACTAATCTGTATTTCTTAATTATCCATCACAATTTAAATGAGTTGCACAAACATAATACCTTAAACAAGAGTAGAAATATATATATACAGTATAAGAACACTAACTTTAAATTTGTAATAAACTAAAATCTATAGCAATGTAAAACATTTTAAACAAGCTGCTCTTTAAAAGTAGGTTCAACAATCCATCCTTTTATCCTATCATATCTATATTCTGTATTTCCATATCATATCCCCCTTTCTTCTTTTAGAAAGATATTGACTATGACCAATAACAATTTGTAACCAACAACCTAAACAAAGACAAACATCCATAATCTATTTTTTGGGAATATGGGCATAGTTTTCTAGGCTACTTCCTGCTGATTAAGGGCACTGTATTCTTTTTTGTTTGTTTGTTTGTTTGTTTTGGTTTTGGTTTTTGGAGACAGGGTTTCTCTGTGTAGCTTTGCGCCTTTTCCTGGAACTCACTTGGTAGCCCAGTCTGGCCTCGAACTCACAGAGATCCTCCTGCCTCTGCCTCCCGAGTGCTGGGATTAAAGGCATGCGCCAATACCTCCCGGCAAGGGGCACTGTATTCTTATGGGGATCCTGAGAAAATTAAGAATTATGGTCGTCAAGTCCTGACTGAAATAGTCTGTGAGGCTGCATTGTCTAAGCCAATTGCCTTGAAGCCGTTCTGGATGTTGAATCATCTGGACCATGGTGGGTCTTGGCTGGTCAAACCATATTAGCCTGGAAGCAATCCACATGTTCTTTTCTGTGAAAAACAAAAGCAGAACCTCTTTTCTAAAGCAACATATCCATACACATAAATTTTGAAATCAAGATATCTTTAAATTACATATATAGCCGGGAGGTGGTGGCGCATGCCTTTAATCCTAGCACTCGGGAGGCAGAGCCAGGCGGATCTCTGTGAGTTCGAGGCCAGCCTGAGCTACCAAGTGAGTTCCAGGAAAGGCACCACAAAGCTACGCAGAGAAACCCTGTCTCGAAAAACCAAAAACAAAAAAAAAAAAACATATATATATATATATATATATATATATATATATATATATTTATGACAACACAATCCAGATTTGCTGTATGATTTCATTCTTTAAGTGGCTTATTTTTATATTACTTTTACTTTCTCTTTAAAGACTTTATTTTTTTAAACTTTTTTTATATAAACTGTCTATATTTCTTTTCCTCTCTCTTCCAAGCCTACATACATTTTTACATACATTGTAAATTGTTTAGCATTTATCACATC